AACAAGTACTTGTCTATATTGAGAGATATTGCTCTGGAACAGCATTAAAAATCAGCCATTTTGAATACATGTATATATATAACATGATGTATAACGAATATATAAAATTTGAATATAATCAGTCAAAGCATTTAAGAGATATGGCTCTAGAACCCCAATCATTAAAGCGAAATGGCCGTCAGTCAGCCATTTTGAATCCAATCTGAAAAATAAAATGACGTGCATCAGGAACCCGCAACGTCTAATGTAATGTACCAAGTTTGAACAAAATCCATCCATAAATGCCAAAAATGCTTGATATATGATGAATTTTTAGCACAAAAATGACCACCATTCAGCTATTTTGAATAAGATTATCAAACCAATATATCTGTTTATCTATGACATGATGTATAATGAATATTAAAAATTGGAATATAATCAGTCAAAACAAGTCAGAGATATGGGTCTAGAAGCCCATTCATTAAAACAAAATGGCCGCCAGACAGCCATATTGAATCTGATCTGAAAAATAAATGATGTGCATCAGGAACCTGTTTGAAAAAATCCATCTGTAAACAGCCGAGAAATGCTTGATTTTGATGATTTTTAGCACAAAAATGGCCGCCATTCGGCCATCTTGAATCAGATCGTGAAACAAATTGACGTGCATATGCATAATATCATGTATGATGTATGTGTGAAGTTTGATTGTGATTGGTCGAGGCATTTCTAAGATAAGGGTCCGGACGCATGGACAGACGGACGCACGCACACACACACAGACACACACAGGTCAAAACATAAGTCCCCGTTTTCGGACTGCGTCCGAACGGGGACTAACAAAATTAGCTTCTAAACCATGCTTCTGTTTCCTGTCAAAATTGGTTTATGGGTACACCTGTTTACTATGAAGAAAGCAGCGTCTTGAAAACTGTCTGCCAGTTGTCAATTTAGTAGGGCAGCAGCTCAAATTTCACTACTTCAAGTTTATGCATAAATTAACACCCAGGCTAGTTGTCTGTATGATTGCTGTAACACTATTCAACTAAAAACAATGCCCCAACGGCATTTTGAAGATAAACACATTGTCAATCATTTGTGAAAATTTCAAAACAAAAAGTCAAAGCATCTAGGAGCTATTTTTTTTTAATGTTCTGGAGAGTGCACTAAAAAGAAGCTGAGATAATTGCTAATTTGCATAACAATTCACTCAGTAAGAAGTTTGCTAATGCTCATAATTAAAATGGCTGTTACAGTTTCAAATTTAAATGTATTATCGTTTTGTAAAAAGTTAAATACAGTGCATAATATTGAGATCCCGACATTTCTATTTTTTTCACCATGTTTTTTTTTTATTATTTATGTACAGCCTTGCTAAATCTTGCTAAGCATTCAAAAGAGATAATTTTGCACATGTTATCTATATTTTAAAATCGTTTTTTGAGTATGTTCAACTATTCACAATTCTACAAAATTTCAACAGTCTATAGCCAAGACTTTTTGGATAATAAAATGCAAAAAAAAAATAATTTCACTCCCAAGTGCCCACGAACCTGCATCTCTACCTTAAATGAAACGCCATATGACATGCAAGTATTGTTCATGGGGCTGCACTGTAAGGAATGTAGTGGCTCAATATTGGTGGCACTCCTTGGCTTGATGGTCTGCTGTATTGAGCAGTCAATGTGTATTGGTCTGTAAGCAATGCTCTATACAGGTATATTGGCTCAGTATTGGTGGCATTATTAGGCTAGATGGCCTCTTGTATTGGTCAATGAATGGATATTGGTCATGGGACAGAACAGCAAGAAACACACCATGTAGTGGCTCAGTATTGGTGGCATTATTAGGCTAGATGGCCTCTTGTATTGGACAATGAATGGATATTGGTCATGGGGCTGAACTGCAAGGAACACACCATGTAGTGGCTCAGTATTGGTGGCATTATTAGGCTAGATGGCCTCTTGTATTGGTCAATGAATGGATATTGGTCATGGGACAGAACAGCAAGAAACACACCATGTAGTGGCTCAGTATTGGTGGCATTATTAGGCTAGATGGTCTCTTGTAATGGACAATGAATGGATATTGGTCATGGGGCTGAACTGCAAGGAACACACCATGTAGTGGCTCAGTATTGGTGGCATTATTAGGCTAGATGGCCTCTTGTATTGGACAATGAATGGATATTGGTCATGGGGCTGAACAGCAAGGAACACACCATGTAGTAGCTCAGTATTGGTGGCATTATTTGGTTAGATGGCCTCTTGTATTGGACAATCAATGGGTATTGGTCATTGCACAAAGCTTTAAAAAAATGTTCTATATATTGGTTCAATATTAGTGTTAGTACAAGACTAGACGGCATACAGAATTGGGCAATAAGAAATGTTCTACATATTAGCACTGGTAGCATTATTGTAATGAATAGGTTACATGTATATGGAATATTCTATACATACATATTGACTCAGCAAAGACAATACATACCATCAATTAAAGCTGTTACTGGCACTTCAACTCCAATAACTGCTTCTGTATATAACTCAACAGTCACTGATTCTATGTCTTCTTGAACCAATACAGACACAGTATCTGATTCCATAGACACATTATTATAAGCATACATGGTAACTCTGAATGATCCTGTAGCATTAAAGGTATAGTAGATAGTCCAAGAACTGTCAGGGTTTCCAACAACATCAGCTTGTATTCGTCCATTACCAACATCAATATCAAAGCTGATATCACTTCCTTCATACAGATGTGCATAGATTTCAGTTCTATTACCCAGTATGGTAGGATGGCCTCCTGATAGCAGCAGTCCTTCTACTGCATCTTGTACAATATATTGGTCTTCTAGATAAACTTCATATGAGCTGATTAAGTTCTGTACAGTTACCACTAAATCATACACACCACGCATGGTATATGTGTGATTGCTTCTCTGTGCAGCTACATAGTCTGCAGAGGGAGGGTCTTCATCGGATATTGTCACATCATCTGAGCCATCACTAAAATCCCAGATGAACTGTATATCACTCCCAGCAGTGACTAATGCCAGGACAGAGACAGTGTCCCCAGTTGTTATAACTTCGCTACCACCAACATCCAATTGTAAGTCTACAATCATTTCTAAAGCTGTGACTTCCACATATGCAGTGAGAAAACTCACATAGTTAGAAACATTCACACTTAGTGAATATAATCCAGCTTCAGGAAAGTTGTAATGAAATGTGTTCTCAGTGTGCTGGACACTTTCAGAGATATTTATACCAATTCCATTTACTGCCCAATCATACAATATAATTTCCGCTGGAACAGTCAAAGTCACTGTTACATTGATGTCTTGGTTAGCTACTACCCAGGGATTAATGTTGATAGTAGGGTAACTAGCAATAGCCTCCTGTGCTATAATATACTGCGGTAAACTAGCAAATTCTGGATGGTCATGAATACTCGTAACTTCCACTGTTGTATTGTAGATTCCTGGCTCAAAATATCTGTGCTCAAACTGTAAGTTCAAAGTACATCCTATACCATAACTGGATGTGATATGAATATAGTTTGGTTCATACCATTGTGTCATGGAATCAGTTTGGTTGCCATCATGTAATGAATATTCATGAGATATTCCATCATGAAAGTTGATGAACATCGTGCTGTCCTGGCGATGTGCAGTTACTATAGAAACAGCAAATCTTACAGATGTGTCAAATACTTTAACATAATAGGAAGGTGATTCCATTGTAATGGTAATGTTTGAATGCCCTTTATCCACCACAACCTGAAATAAGAGTTAACATTATAACTGGTCAGTATTAATAATCCACTTCCAATCATTTGATATTCTACAGTCTGTATACAGTACTGTCACAAGCAAAAATGTTTTTGTTGATTGGTGCTTTGGACAACAAGTTTTAATTATTATTAGTGCGGTTTGTTAGTTGGCCATGAACGCATCGGTTCTCATTGTGTTGTGGTAAATGACTTCATTAATTGTTGAACATGGCTACAAGTGATACGGTCATAATGACAAATCGGCGATATTTTTGGGAGTGAACATCTGAGTATTTTTACCACCTGACCAATGAAAACAACGGTCGAGCAAAATTGTTTTACTTTGGGCTAGTTGTTAAGACTCTTCTGAACAGTGTATTGAAAAAGATTACCCCTACATGTGTAATATATAAATTTGGTTACTTAAGTTTGTCATATAGTTTAGTTTGCGCTGTTTTTTCTACTGACTCTACAATCAGTGTTTGACAGCAGCTCACACAGAGCCTATAGAACTACATAATAGTTCAGTGATGTAGCTCCGCCCCCAGAATAGTGTAGTTTCAGCAATGGTTCATATGAATTAATGGAACTTCAATTATTTAACCTTTTGAGTGCAATTTGGAACCATCTACAACATTTTGTACAGTTTGCTCCTCCCCACAGGAAATGTTGATAAAAATTGACAAACTTTTTTAATTAAAAACTAAAAGCAATATTTGAAACTGTATGGTGCAAAATGATGATGAAATTTAGTGACAATTTTACCAGTTTGTGAAAAACATTTACACTGAATTTGGAGCAACAAAAGCACTCAAAGTGTTAAGGTGTATTTAAACTCAAATTGGATCATATGTACAATAGTTGAAATCAACAGTGCTATCTAATGGTACACAGTATCAACAAATTATGAAGAGGATATGCAAGTGTGTGCTATGAAGAAATCACATGAATTGAATAAAATTACATGAATTGAAGTCATGTGAATGAAGTCATGTGAATTGAAGAAGTGTGAATTTAAAAATGTCATGTGAACTGAAGACATGTGAATGAAGTCATGTGAATTGAAGAAGTCGTGTGAATATAAAAATGGCATGTGAATTGAAGAAGTCATATGAATTGAAGAAGTCATGTGAGTTGGAGAAGTCATATGAATTGAAGTCATGTGAATTGAAGAAGACAAGTGGGTGAAGTCATGTGAATTGAAGAAGTCGTGTGATTTTAAAAATGTCATGTGAATTGAAGAAGTCATGTGAATTGAAGTAGTCATGTGAATTGGAGAAGACATGTGGATGAAGTCATGTGGATGAAGTCATGTGGATGAAGTCGTGTGAATTGAAGAAGTCATGTGAGTTGGAGAAGTCATGTGAGTTGGAGAAGTCATGTGAGTTGGAGAAGTCATGAATTGAAGAAGTCATGTGAATTGAAGACATGTGGGTGAAGTCATGTGAACTGAAGACATGTGGGTGAAGTCATGTGAATTGAAGAAGTCGTGTGAATTTAAAAATGTCATGTGAATTGAAGAAGTCATATGAATTATGAGATGACCACAATATATATATATATATATATACTATATTTTTAGAAATTCAAATGCAAATTAGTGAGTCTGGTAAAAACATATTTGTGTTCATCTCTAACTGTTTTTGATAGTATCCTTGCTTATTTGCTAAGTGTTGTAATCTGTAAGTTTTGCGTGTTAGGTATGCTTTGTGATGCTGATGGTTTGAAATACGTTCACAGATATTAAAAATCTCAACTGCTACTGTAACATAAACTTTATATCAATTTTTTTTATGTTTAATTTCTATTGAAAGGTTAGTGAAAGCCCAGGTCGTGATATTCAATATACTAAAAATAGACTTACAATGCAAAGCGTCTCAGCAACACTGCCAAGATGATTGGACACATTAACACTGATGGTAAATAGCCCAGTAGTGTTAAAAGTATGCATCTGAAAAATAAATAAATAATAAATTAAAATTCCATTATACCAACCATGTGTTTAAATACATGCAGTACCACCAAGAAAGTACTCAAGTTAAAACAAATACACAAACTAAATGAAGCTAGGTTCACACATTAAGAGACAGAGATCTGACTTTGGAACAAGGCTGTTACTAAACTATTGGTAGTAGATTCATAAAAAATAGTTGTCCTATAAGTTCAAAAGAAAGGTCACTTATATGGAAAACAACTTAAGAGTCAATGTACATCTCTGATTACACTTTAAGGTAATGGATCATGCTTCATATTAAATATGGACATTTTAATATACTGTAGTTCATTTTCAAAGAATTATCCTGTCTGTGACTAAGTGACTTGATGATGTCCTACGAAGCTGAAATAATGATATTTCTGATGTGGATAAGAATGTGAATACCAAAAGTCTCGCATTCCTTTCAGTTACTTGAAACATCAAACAAAACAAAATTTTGGTGCAATACAATTTTATAGAAGTTTGTACCAAATTCAAATTTTGCACTACAAAGACCGTGTTTACAACTGCACATACATGGAAAGCATTATGGGAGATAATTTCCCATAGTACTGGTAGGTAAATAATGAAAAACTGTCACACTAAAACTGACTAAATTTAGTGCCAGTTTATTAAATAGTTTTAACAATGATATGGTTCATATCAGTAATACTATCCGACTTAACCATCCCATCTCAGTGAGCAAAATTTTGAAATATTAAGAGATAATTTCAACAATGGAATCAATGCTATAATGAAATCTTCATGTTACCATGAGATTTCATACGTTGTCGCTCAAAAAAGTGTTTCCCTAATGTCATTAACCATTTGATCGCCATTGTCAACTTTTGGCGCCATCTACAAAATGACTTTGTACAGTCTGCTCATTCCCACATAAAATGTTAATAACAAATGTCAAATCTTTTGATCAAATACTAAAAGTTAATATATTAAAGCGAGCGTGTCATTGTTTACAAACAAGTATCTACCAATGAGCCTCTGCGTTTTTAGCATGTGTTGTTATCATCGCTAGGGACTCGATTCCCGCGCGTGCGCAGGTGACAACCCTCCCTCTTTGTATGGTCCAAAATAATGACAATTTTATTGAATAAGGAAAAAATATGGAAAAAATATCTGGCACTCAAAGGGTAAACCTATGATACACAACCTGAAACTTCTTAATCACCCACAAGAAAAATAACAGAAAAAAATAAAAGTAATGATTACTGTAAACCTTTTAATTTATGCTGATATAAATTTTGTGATACAATATTTTGACAGCATTCATGGACTATGAATTTTGTCTCTCAATAAAATAATCAGTTTACAGTAACATCATTCCTGCTGCCAACAAAACATTACATCCAGTAATATACGTAATGTGATATCGGGTGTGTGTCCATGTCCAATCAACTGATAGTAATATAGAAGAAAAACACTTTTTTTTTCTTAAACTTGTAGTTAAATAAATAAAACCAACTTTATACTTTTGTATCTTAGGTGCCAGAAAACTTTAAACTTTCATTCTTTGCTACCTTACCTCTCGTAAAAGAAAGTTTGAAAGAGTGAAATAACAAACTACATTAAAAATTAAAGTAATTTTTCACCACCAGACTTTCTCACTCAAATTTGTCTGCACTTTTTTCTTATATTCTTTAATATTTCTGGAAATGAATTCAAATTTTGGAGCTAACATACAAAATTAAATTTTCCGTTTTTACTCAAAAAAATTGATCATTTTTGTCCAATCTTTTGAAAGAAGGGGCATACTATAAACAGGATTATTTTGTGATGAAAAGTGGGAGCTGGTGATGAAAAGGTTAATTATCCATGGCCTTCTAGTATAACATGAAAAATTACGTATTTGGATGTATAAGTATTTGTAAACAGTGAGTGATGGAGTTCAAAAATTGACATTCAGGTTGAACTACGACTAATCTAACTTCAACCTAAAATGTCAAACTAGCTTATAATATTAATGTGTGTGCTTTGACATCTCCACACATGTATTGTATTCAAAAACAGCAGAATTACAGCAGTCAACTTTAATGGTTACAATATCACAAAATAATTTGGATGTGTTGATCTAAATATTCAGCATGGATTTAAAGCTTATATAAGAAAATTATATAGACTTTAAGAATGTTGTACACAATTGAATGCTATAGCCTACAGCTACATGTATAAACATTTGTTTCCAATCATTACATGCATTCAATCTAATGTAGTGATTTATACAGACTTTTTTTTTAAATTAAGGGCCTGTACAAAGAGTAAAACGTACATCATTCAATGTTATTATTTAACATATTTTACAGACATTCTTATAATATCAATTTGCGTCTAACAAACAAGTAAATGAGCTTTTGGTGGAAACTATAATCACATTAGACTCTCAGCTCATCAGATGAGAAGGAGAAAGTTCATGATCTGCAGCCCAAACATTAAGATCCATCAATCAAAATGTGATGGTTTGGGAATATTTATTTAGTCTATGAGCACTAATGATGTAACTTTAGGTAAATGTTTTGTTCAGGAAATCCAAACATGTCGTTCAACGAAAATCATTAAATTGAGATTGTATATTTTCATTCCAAAATGAAGCAGACTCCATGTGAAAGAAACACTACATAACTACACCCCTAAGGTAGTATGCATATTTTAGTGTATATAGCAGTAGCAATGTTTCATGTCAAAATCTGTTTACAATTATTCGTTTTAGTATTAGTCAAGAAGTATGTGAACTTTTTTGGTTCACTGTCAATCTGATTTTTGAGAAAAAATTGTAAAATAATACAAATGCCATTTTAATAGCAGTAGTTTCCATAGACCATAATGGAAACACATTTCCTCATTAAAAAACCCACTCAAATATTGTCAATTTTTTAATACTTCTAGACATCAAAAAGTGCTTTGTAAAACATTATATATATTTGTTTCACTAGGCTAAATTTTGAGATATTAAGATGTATCCTTGCCATAGGAAACAATGGCAATATGCCCTGAAACAGAAAAAAAACATACCGTATTCACTGTATTTTATTTGAACTAAGTACGGTGATCACATTTTCCTAATTTTTGTTGCATGATATATGAATATATGATCAAAGAAAGCTTAGAAAGAACTCCTGTGTGCTGAAGGTATTGGAGGCATGAAGTTAGCACATGTGCTTCAAGTAGCTATGGTTTAACAATTATAAATATTTAATGAAATAATATATATATATGATGACTTTTGGTCATATATTTTGTCAGACAAAATTATAACTCCAGTTGCATGTCCCTATCAGCAACAGTACTTATACCACATTGATTTCAACCCAAACAAATCAGGTTTGTGCATTATCCCAGGGCATCTGTGTGCCACGTTTCATCAAAATCTGTTGAATGGTACTTGAGAAACAAATGAATATGCCTAAAATGTGCTAATCAATATGCTAATTAGGTTATTATTATGCATGGCATTTCAACCCAAAACTAATCAGGTCTGTGAATAATCATGAAGCATCAATGTACCAAGTTGAAATGTAAAAATTAGTACTCAGCAGAAAAACTGAAAATTTACTATTTATACAAATTAGTTAATTAATATGCATTAATGTTAATCAAATACTTTGAATTGTCTCATGACATCTATGTACCAAGTTTTATTGTAATGTGATGATTAGTACTTGAAATGTTAGTGGAAAAGCCGAAAATTGATTAACCTTTATGCAAATAAGGTAATTATTATGCAGATTTTTACCCAAAACTAATCAGGTCTATGAATAGTCATAGAGCATCTATGTACCAAGTTTCATTGTAATGTGATGATTAGTACTTGAAATATTAGTGGAAAAGCCAAAAATTGATTAATTATGCAAATTATCAAAAATATTTTTACTTTTGTATAGTATTCTAATGAGACACTTATGACATTATTTTGATTTGCTTTTAAAATGTCAGCATGTCAACTACTTGCCCTTTTACTGACTTGTAATTTAACATAGCCGGTGGTCATGTAACATGTGATATGCCTTCCAATTTTTACTGACATCATAACACAGTTTGTGAGATAAATCTCATTACGCTTACACTGAAACTGTAGAGGAACCTATTACATCAATGCAGTAGGCTGAAGTGTAGGTCAATTTGAAGTGTAGGTCAATTTGAAGTGTAGGTCAATTTGAAGTGTAGGTCAATTTGAAGTGTAGGTCAATTTGAAGTGTATAACAGAAATTAAAGCTATACAAATTCATAAACTATAAAACTTATTAGGAGATATAAGGTAAGAGACAATGTATAGAAATCCATAAACTTATTAGGAGATATAAGGTAAGAGACAATGTATAGAAATCCATAAACTTATTAGAAGATATAAGGTAAGAGACAATGTATAGAAATCCATAAACTTATTAGGAGATATAAGGTAAGAGACAATGTATAGAAATCCAAAAACTTTTTTTATTTTTATTCACAATTTTTTTCTGGATAAAAATAGTTTCAATTTAATGTGAATTTTTGAACAAACAAAAATAGTTTGATGTTTTTTTTAGGATTAGATTATAAGCTACAACTTTGTCCATAGAAGTTTATAATATCCCTTATAATAATGGATAAAGGAATAGAAAATCCAAATTGTCAACTACTGTAGAATACTTTATTTTAGCTGGAATTAATTTTCGCTGAAAAGACATTTTAGGGGTTTTTATTTTCACTGATTTTTGGCAAGTTGAATGTAAAATATAGGAAAAAAGGTATATTCGCTGGATTTTATTTTCACCGAGTCATTCCTACAGCGAAAATTAATTCCAAGCGAATATAAAGTATTTTACAGTATACAACAGACACTGTAGTTTTCATCTCAGCCACAGATCTTCACAGCAGATCTGAAATTTTAGTTTTAAAGAAGAAATTAATTTAAACAGTTTTAGTTAAAATAGATAAAATATTTCCTGAAACAAATTCATATTGACATGTCCATCCATGAAGGCACTAGCTTATATACCAAAAACCAAATCAAAAATTCCAACAGCTTCCAAGACAGGTGGAATATTGAACTACCAAATGGTCAGACACCCTCCCAGCTTCCAAGACAGGTGGAATACTGAACTACCAAATGGTCAGACACCCTCCCAGCAACCTATCAAATGGTCAGACACCCTCCCAGCAACCTACCAAATGGTCAGACACCCTCCCAGCAACCTACCAAATGGTCAGACACCCTCCCAGCAACCTACCAAATGGTCAGACACCCTCCCAGCAACCTACCAAATGGTCAGACACCCTCCCAGCTTCCAAGACAGGTGGAATACTGAACTACCAAATGGTCAGACACCCTCCCAACAACCTACCAAATGGTCAGACACCCTCCCAGCAACCTACCAAATGGTCAGACACCTTCCCAGCAACCTACCAAATGGTCAGACACCCTCCCAGCAACCTACCAAATGGTCAGACACCCTCCCAGCAACCTACCAAATGGTCAGACACCTTCCCAGCAACCTACCAAATGGTCAGACACCCTCCCAGCAACCTACCAAATGGTCAGACACCCTCTCAGCAACCTACCAAATGGTCAGACACCCTCCCAGCAACTTATTAATTTTGACGAAACATTTTGCCTTGCTTATTTTATATATTGTTTTGATATTTTTGAACCAAATGGACATAACCTTATTGGCTAAAAAATGTAATCAAAATTTGAGTAAAAATACTTAAACAATGTGATACAGTACATGTGAAAAAATGGTTAAACAGTGTGGTTGAGGTACTCTTGGTACAAAGACATTCTTTCATCTTCATAAATATTTATAAATTTCAATGGCAGCTATATCTAACCAGCCAATCAATGAGCACAGTGTGCAACAATGTCATTTGAAAATGTTTCTATGCTATTCAATTGGCCAGTAGAAACCTCTTGTTTTAGTTTGAATTGTGAAATTTTTAAATATTTAGAACCATAAAGAGAATGCTCTTGTTGCATCAAGAGTAATAAACTAGAGAAATCAGTGTACCTGTAAGTCTTTAAAACATCCCATGCCTGTGCACTGTGAATCATCCATGTAAGGAGATGATGTAATCACCCTGTCATCATCACTGATTGCCCAATTAAAAGTCAAATTGACACCAAACACTACAGAGGCCTGCAAATGAATTGCGGTGTCCACAAAACCAGATACTGTTGGGGTATTATCGGGTATTGCACTATGTTCTGGTATACATGAAGGAATTGACCTGGAACCGGGAACATGACCAATTTCCAAACCAGCTGGTATTGGTGCAATTACTGTGATATTAACATATCTTTCAAAGGTTGTAGAAATAGTATGGTGAACTGTAACCCCTGTAAAAAGCAAACAAATCGTTACATTATACTTCTGTGATACCACATATGTGTGAGTCAAAAATATGTTTCATCTCAAACCTTTTTTTAATCTTACTCTTGCATTTCGTTCATGTGCAGTGCTCACTCTAAGCCCCAAGTGCATGGAATATGCCTAATAAAACTTCATCTGTGAATCAGTCATTAAGCAAGCAAATATAACAACCTTTACACAATCTAAATGCTTAGATATAGTCATACTGTAGTGCATATGCTGTTCAATGTTTGTCTAAGCATTAAAATGTTTAAAATTACAATTATTCATTTGCTAAAAATAAATTAAAAATATCATCGTTTAGTACAGAAAGTTAAATTGCAAAGCAAGTCAGTGTGAAATGAGAGATTAAAGATTAAATGACCACAATAGAGTTCTATACGGGTGATATTTGTCTGCTAAGGCTTGTTGTTTTCAATCGCCATTTGAATATTATAAATATTTTATATAAAACACACCTTCATGAAACCAAGTGTAATCAATGAGTGTTTTTATTAATTTGTTTAAATTCAACAAAGCGCCAACAAAGAGCAAGCCAAGTTGTAAATCGAATTTGTTTCACAAATGTTGAATTGTGCTACTGTTACACTGAAGTGCAAGTAAACAAGTCGTCACTGACTTCAAATGTGTTGTCTGGCACTTTCACGTTTCAGATTTCAGTAGTCTATTTACATGATTGATTACAAGAATTGAGACTATGCTGTCATTTCACTTTGAATTATCATCAAACACATATGTAATTAGTTTATTTTGAATTATTTGCAAAGATAAATTAAACCAAGTCTAAAGTATTCTGTAATGTCAGTATAATTATTGACAATAGCGACATTCTCATGACTTCACAAACAGCTGAATGTCGAGACTAATTATGGAAATTTTGCCTGGCACCATCATAATTATATCAGTCACTTAAAATATTCAAATGTCAGCCAGTCTTGATGTATTTACGTTAGTTCTATGTGTAAATATGTCGATACTGTAGACAAATTTATGTAATCAGTTCTAATCTTACTCCAGAGAAATCGCAATGACAAAATCTCAGTGGTTTGCACTGTAAAAGTACAATTTAGGGACTCAATTTGCTCATGCAAGATGCAATAGCAATGGTGTTGTCTACAATTACAAGATTACCAGAACCGGAAAATATAAATTTCAAAGAATTCATTAGTAAGTTATTTTTAATAAATAAAAACAGATTTTTGTCAGCTAAACACTGTAAACACTAAAAACTTGTGTCAAGCTAACAAACACTGTTTTGTCTTTCAATCAACATAATTCACCAAAAATGCAGGTCAAGTTAAATAAATGTTAATGTAATAGTAATTTTCAATGCCTGACTAGTTTGATTTTTGGTTTTTTCTTCCTATTCATGTTAGCTACCCGGTATATATGGAGGCTTTCAGCTAGTGATGTGTTAATTCAAATAATGAACAATGATATATGTATGGTGTAGAACATTTGAAGGAGTTATGTTGATTTAAAGATAGCAATAGATAGATCAGTTCGCTAGCTTAAACCAAGTTTGTTTTAGTCCTTGTGTTCCAATAATTGTAGACAAGCTAGAAATAGTGAGTATATGTCGTCGGGCAATACAAACACAGCATTTACTTCATAACGACTAGATACATTGTAAAAATATAAGCAATAAAGAAGTTCAGCAGTTATTATGGTGACACTCCAGTATGATTGAAAAGAGTGAAGATTTTACGATCATTCATTCATAATACTATGTCCTGGATACATCATAGTACAATTCTTAGTTTAATGAGAGGTGTTCCTTGCAATCACTATGTGTAGCAGCATATATCATGCAGTCTTTGATGGCCAGAATTTTTTAATCCTTTGAAAACCAGAATTTTTTAATCCTTTGAAAACCAGAATTTAATAATCCTTTGAAAACCAGAATTTTTTAATCCTTTGAAAACCAGAATTTCTTAATCCTTTGAAAACCAGAATTTTTTAATCCTTTGAAAACCAGAATTTTTTAATCCTTTGAAAACCAGAATTTCTTAATCCTTTGAAAACCAGAATTTTTTAATCCTTTGAAAACCAGAATTTTTTAATCCTTTGAAAACCAGAATTTCTTAATCCTTTGAAAACCAGAATTTTTTAATTCTTTGAAAACCACAATTAACATGAGAAAAGTGAAGGCATAGCAACAATGTGTGTTTTGTTCTTACCTATTGTGTATGTTCCTACATCTTGAAATGTATGTAGTATATTGGAAGAAATAGTGGTATCTTCTATTGATGATTGTTTACTTGTAATACTACCAGATACATCCCATGTAAAATATATTAAAGATACATTTGTAGCATCATATCCTGAAAAGCATGAGGAAAAAAATCTCAATCTTAATAGTCACATAGTTTAGTACTGGTACTTCAAATTCAAATGACTGATTAATTACTTTAACTGTTACAGCTGCCTACAAACTTACACATACTATAAAGGAAGGGCAAGGAGGGGATAGCTGGTAAGTTATTACGAAAATACCCCTTGCCGACCCTCTACTATCTATCATATCCAAACAAAAATCTGATTTTTTCACTCGATTTTTCATGTGAAAACCTTGCAGTGGCCAGCAAAAAATTTCATTTAAATGATATACAAAATGCAGAAATTCAAATACAACATTGCAAACACTGAAGGAGATAGAGATGAAGAAGCTACCAGTGATAAAAAGAAAAAAAAAATTAAATGTGATCTAACAGGTGCAATTGGATCTGATAAACAAGATATTTTTTTGTTTGGCCTAATGATTATTTTACCAAAGAAGTATCTGTACACCCAGCTTATATAACTGGTACTTCTATGATATACAAGCATATACAAGCACTTCACTATTCACCTACATATTTATACAGATACATGTACGTTAATTTATTTACAATT